TCTTTTCAGCGGACCGAGGAGAAGCCCACAACCCACGACGACTCCTCCACGACAACGGCAAACGGTGAGTTCAGAGCGGTGTACGGCAAGCGATAGGGTGATATCTTGCGTATTTCTCAAATGTTTGAATTTCCTTGTAGGGTATACTGCTGTATGCCGGTATATTTCCCCTGCTCTCCCATCTTCCCACGAAACTATTGAGTCCCATCCTCACATTTCCCCCCTCTCTCGTCAAAACTGCTCCATTGTTGACATCATCAAATAGGCTATCGACCGGCACCGCGACGGGGTGAAGCAGAGCGTGTTAGAGGATGATGTGTTGAAGGAGGAGCTGAGGGAGTTACTGTGTGTCGGAGAACTTGGAGAGGCAGCGGCGACGAAGGCTGCTGTCGATGCGGAGAACATTCGCGCACTGGTCGCCTCTATAGAGACGCTGAAGCTACACTCCCACAGCAACATCGGCCGCGCTGCCTACAACACCGTCATTGCCGCAGCTGCTGGAGCGGAGCACACGTGCGATCCTGATTACCCTTGCACGCCGGATGAGCCGCGCGCACCTGCTGAGCCGCAGGGTGCCGTCAGCCTTGCCGCGCGAGCATAGGGTCTTGGTGTGAGATACCATACGTTCCGTGCAGCGCGTACCCGGATGCACAGGACTGACCACACCATACCTCCACAGGAAGCTTTGGAGAAGGGGAGATACCTCTGGGCTCCTCGCAAGGAAAGGAGCGACAAGATGGACGAACGTGTCATGGGTTTGGCGAGGAGGTTCTGGCACTCTGACGATATTTCTCGTGCGTCGGGAGACTCCGGTAAGCCCTGTCAAATTTTGTTCTTGTACAATTGTCGATGTGACGTATCAACTACACTTCTCTGTACCCCTAGATAGCTTCACTATTGCTGCTACACTGCACACTGCTGTTCTTTCGTACACCCCTGTAGGGACGAAAGCTATGTGGAGGCCGTCCAAGAAGGCAGGGGAGGAGTATCACCCCCGTAGGCAGCTCATGGTCGCGGGGGACCAAGTATGGCACAAGTTTCTGAAGTGGCCGGAGTACTTGGGGCTTAAGGCGGAGCTGCTGAGGGAAGACAGCAGCTTCACGGACCCTGGGCGGACGCTGTTCCTCTCGACGCGGTGTGGGTGTTTAGGTGGGTAGACATGAGGGGAGAGCTCCGTTTTTTTAGTGACCGTTCCAGCGTAATGGACTCTTCTGCTGTGTCACCGCCCCAGGAGGACGGCCTCTTTGCTGACCTGTTGTCCTCCCCTCTGTCCGTTTCAACTGTTCGCTTCTGGTATGTCACAGTGGAACCCAAGATATCGCCATGTGCATGCCAGATCCACACGCAGCAGGGGCTGTACCTGAAGGTCGAGATGTTGATGCCTGCAATGCATTCCAACTGTGACTGCACGTGCAAGCGGTGCGACGGGGGGAGTGGGTGTGGAAAGTGGATGGCCATGTGTAAAGATCTGCACAGCTTTTCAGAGGCTTTGGCTTGCGAGAAGGTAGACTTTCTTGAGGAGGACCGAGGGGGTAAGTTTGAGCACTGGGGGAGGAAGCCTTTCTTGAGGAGGACCGAGGGGGTAGGTTTGAGCACTGGGGGAGGAAGCCTTTCTTGAGGAGGACCGAGGGGGTAGGTTTGAGCACTGGGGGAGGAAGCCTTTCTTGAGGAGGACCGAGGGGGTAGGTTTGAGCACTGGGGGAGGAAGCCTTTCTTGAGGAGGACCGAGGGGGTAGGTTTGAGCACTGGGGGAGGAAGCCTTTCTTGAGGAGGACCGAGGGGGTAGGTTTGAGCACTGGGGGAGGAAGCCCGCATGCGTTGCGATGGAATGTTCCGAATGCGGGTTTGGCAACCCAGGTGGCATCCCCATGAACTGCGATGCCCTGGGGTCTATGGCGGACAGAGTAGTCGGGTGGCTTCGATTCGAGGATCAAGTCATGGAGGATGGGAAGGTGCACAAGAAGCAGCAGATACCCCAGGCCGGAAAACTGGACGACCTGTGGAAGGAGTTTGTGGAGCACTCGAAGAAGGTGAAGTAAGGAACCGCATGTGGAATGGGCGTCGTAAAATGCTGGAGGCATGTAGTCAATCGTGCATCAACACAACTAATCGCGCGGCTTACAATTATGTTTTCCTGCCCCGCCCCCCCTTTCCCCCCGGTCGTTTCTCGTCCCTCAGTACATTCATCACCACGAGCTAGCAAAGTGGCAGCGCCAAGCCCACAACATGTGCCTGGCGACGTTCGGCAAAGGCGAGCTGTTGGTGGAGACCGACTTTATCGAGAAGTACAAGCACGAGGCTGGCGCTGTCTTGACGTGCGCTACTGCGCCCTCCACGACCATGATGGTGGCTCTAGTTCACCACAGTCCTGACGACGACGGTCGGCATGAGACAGACGCATGGGTATTCGTATCGAGTGACCCCAACCATGACTTCGATTTCCACATCTACGCCATGGACATCATCCTTCGGTACTACATCACGGGGGATGGGCGGGCCGCTACTGCTGGAACACCGGTCCCCACGGTGCACATCTTCACCGACGGGTGCGCCAAACAGTACAAGGGGAAGCACAACTTTTACGCTGTGGCCAAGAGCTTGCACAGGCTTGGTGTCGTCCTCATCCACAACTTCGCGGTCACGTCGCACTTCAAAGGCGCCCACGATGGCATCGGGGGGTTGCTGAAGGCTCTGTTGCGAGAAGCGGAGAAAAGGGGCCAGCGCATTCACAACACCCAAGCCGCAGCCGACTTCCTCCAAGTCTACGCCGAGGCAAAGGAGGATGGAGGAGGTCACTTTTCAAGCTGGTCCCCCTACCGGATCAAGAGGTTCCACATCAAGCTTCTTGGACACCGAGAGATCCCTCGCCCGTTCGTAGATTTGACGGGCATCTCTGGGAGTTCCAAGCTGTACCAGTTCATGGGAGCGGAGGTCCAGGAGGAGGAGAGCTCGGGCGTAGGCGTAGAGGTGCAGACAGAGAACGGGGTTCCCCTCGTAGGTGGCGAGAAAGAGGTTGTAGCTAACCCGCAGAGATGGCAGGCGGACGAATCAACCGTTCTGACGCTTCCGACTGTCACGAAGCGATACAAGCTACGCGTTCGCCAGGCGTCGTGCTACTGCTCGTGTAGTGTTGGAGCTTACGACGACTGCGTCCCGGCCAAGAAGTAATCGGGGATGGTGGGTATGGTGAAGGCTGTGTCGGGCAAGCACAGGGTTACTCGGACGTCCTGTGGTGTAGGGAATTGAGGGGTGTCCGTGGTGCACGTCATGTTCTCGTGTTTGGCGCCTTGTTCTCTTCCATATTCTTTTGTTTCTTTGGGTAGTTTTGTTGCAGTTTTTGTACTTTTTTTGTTGAAGTGTGCTGTTTGTTGCATGTTGCTGTTCATATGCAGCGGCAGGTCGTCTCCCTTTGGCGGTTTGGGATATCAACGAAGGGTCTCCAGCAGGAGAAAACAAAAATTTGCGTCTGTGGCTAATATTTTCACGGTTTATCGCCGAAATGGGCTGTCTTTTTCTATATATATAATGCACAACATACATTATTTTCAAGCACGTCGGTGAAATAAATGTCCACATATGTCACACAGGGTATTTGTGGTCAATCTCCGCGGTTGTACGCATCAAATAGCCTAGAAAAACGAGCTTGAAAATGACCTTAAAAACACGTTTTATCGCCGTTTTTCCAAAGGGGGGGGACATTCTTTCCCCATCCCCGTTTTTTTCATACATTCTGCAGTATAAATCACTACATATCGCTGAAACCTCAACATCCCGACGTTGGGTACTCAATTTAACCCGCGGAACTGGGCCTACACCCCACCAAAGCACCCTGACACACTTTTTGGAGCTTTAGTCTTCGGGGAACATCATCAACTGGACCGCTCGACACTCTACCGCGGAAGGCGTGCCTTGGCTCTTCTCGCCCGCCTTTCATTGCTGTGTTCGTCATTGATGTATTCAATAAAATAGTGTCGAAGGCCATGTGTTGATCAAGTGCTTTGCACGAGGCATGTACGTGGGGCTTGCCAGAAGGGGTGCAAATGGGTGACGCGTCACCCGATTGTTTCGTATCATTCGGGCGGGTGTGTCTCTGCTCTCGCCCTTGATGCGGACGCCCGCGTACCCGGCTTTCTATGAGCCCGCAGGTGGCGGCACCGTGTAGGTAGGACCACCAGACATACTTTTTGTAATTTTAGGGGCACATGGGCTGGTCCGTTCGGCGCTTGAACTTGCTTGAGCCGACGGCTAGGGCGGGTGTGGCAAACCTCAAAAATGGGTGTCAGCAGACTTCAACCAACACCAAACAACCAACCTTGTGGAAAAAGATCTTCTCAAAGCGCTCCAGAAGAGGGTATAGGGTGGACTTACCTGCATCGTTCTTGCTAGTAGATGTCTCGAGATGTCTTCGCGGGTAGCTGGTGTGGGCGGTTGGTGGATAGCCTGAAAGAGGGAGCCAGAGCGAGAAGATTAAGATTGTTGTGAAACGTGGCGGAGGGCGGGTCTTCCCGGGGTCGCCACAGATGAAACCCCACTCCTATACTATTATTTGGGATTCTGTTGGCGTGTGCCCGCTGAACCTTGCCGCCTGAACGTTGCGCGTGGGACTTGTTCTCGAACTCCTTTGTCTCGACTCCTCGGCGACAAAAGAGTGTGCTGTGTTGCGAAAATATGGCTAGCGAGGATCGACCTGGGACTATCCAAAGACAACAGTCCAACTGGGCGGACGAGGTTAAGCAGAGAGACAATCCAACAACGAGAGACGATGAGGTATAACTGCTGTTGTAAGTCGCGAGGGAAGGGATTGCTGTACCCTTCTCGCGATAACAATATCTCAGGCAGGAACCGCAGGAGGGGGTCCAACCCCGCCCTCCTGTGTGACCCCGGTTGGTTCGTCTAGCTAGTGGAAGTGGAGGATAGGGGCCAGAGGGGCAGAAGACAGAGTCCAATGATGGGGGAAAAAAAAAAAAACTGCTCTACTCGACATCAGTCAGTAGCGGTGCATCTTGGCGCAACCGCGTGCTCTGCCCCGCAGAACAACCCGACTGTTGTTTACCACCATACGCTAAAGGCGCTCATACTGCGACCGAGCCCAGTGCCTGACGTGTACCCGCACTGTTTAAGCCTCAGAGACTTGACGAGTGTCCCTTCCTGTAGCTCGCTTCCAACGCGTGCCGCGCCCAGAAACGTGCGAGCTCGATCGGTCGCGCGAAACGCTGACTCCATTCACCTTGCCCGCGAACGAACGTGCTTTCCAGAAGGTTGCATGTCTTCGCAGCCCTTCGTGACACTGCAAAACACCAACTCCGGATGGGGTACGATACGGTAGCTGAGACTGCAGTAAAGGCGCAGTTAACGTGGCGGGGGGAGGTTGCCCCGTGTCCTACTCGGCGTGTGTACAACTACCACTGCTGTGGCGTCTGTGCGGCTGCCGTGTCCATGAGTGTTCTGTAAATGCCCGGTCAGCGGGTTAACCCTGTAGAAGAAGCCCATTGGCGCTGGCTCGACTTGCTAGTCCCCTCCGTCCCAGCGTGTAGAGACGTTAGGGTCCATTTCGAACCGCAATACACAAAGAACAGCAGTGCATGAATACCATTGATCGTCGTCTAGATATACGCCAAGACTGTCCACTACCTCGCGACTCGCGACCCACCCATCCCCCGCCCCCCTCCCTCCCCGCAACCACGCAATGGCGGGTCAAGACTGCTGGTACATCTGGCAATGCGGAAGGGCAGTCCGGCGCCGGGGAGCTTTCCGACCTCATTAGGATGGTCTCGACCATCGAGTCCCAGGTGCGGGTGGAATAAACGCACCGACGTGTGCGCCTTCTGAAAGCAGACAGGCCGTTGTTACAAATGCTGCATAACAACGTGTTCGGCTGGATCAGGGCTCCGTCATACCCGCAATGCGTTGACCGTAATCGTTCGTCGCTTGAGTCCAATATCACGGAATCAGCCGTTTTTGGCCTTTTTCCGGGCCTCTGTTTGGAGCCCGATGAAGGAAAGAACCTATCTTTGATAACGGGGTCCCATAACGTGAGGTTGGAGCGTGTCTACGATTGTGTGTGCCATTTTTGTGTTTGCTGGTATTTCTTCTGAACACCATCAGCTGAGTCGGTCGAGCTGAAATAGCGTCAGTGCTAGCCGCACGAAAGCACCGAACGATTAGTATCATAGTGGGCGGTATGTCGGTGGGGTGAGCTGGGAGCGTCCGGATTCAGCGTGGTGGCTCGCGGAGAGGGCCGAACCACCGCTGGTTGCAAGACCTACCGCACCCCTTTGGACCGATTTTCAAAGCCTGAGAACTCTGCAGAAACAATGGTGACGGTGCCCATAATGGGGGCCATGTAACCATCCCGTCGAGAGCATTCGAAACCGTGTCGTTTGATGTGAGCGTCCTCTTTGTCGCAGAGTATTCTCGAGCTTTATCAATCGGTCCAGGGGATGTGTTAACTTGCGTCATTTCACCCTTGGCACACTCCGCAACTTTCGAAGGTTGCCGGCCGCACCCGCACCAGGGCCGCCGCCGGCGGCAGCGTACCCAAGCATTGTCGACCAACCCATCACATGTTGAAGAAGTTGAAACAGGATAACAGGAATCGGTTTTAGTGGCGATGCGGCGCCTTATTCTCCCAACCAAAAGGGTGCGCCCGTCGCTGGAACCCACCTCCGTCTGTTGTTGTCACTTGTGCAGCCGATAGTGTCGCCTGTTTCCCCTTGTCTGGTGCGTTGCCAGCCCTATGCTAGATGGGTTCTGTCTCTTGTGGTGTTTGGGAACACACCCCTTGTGTGTGGGCGAGCTTGTTTTCTAGAACTTCATTTGCTATTGGCAGCCGGTGGGCGGTTGTACTTAGCGGTGAAACGAGGAGAAACAACGGAAAGTAATAGGGACCATACAAGAGAGGACGGCTGCCGCTTTTTCACGAGTACATGTTTGTGATGTGTGTCTTTCGATAAATCTTGAGCCACCGAGATGAACACGGCATCCCTCGCACCTGTACTATTGTTGTTGCTGTTGTTGCATCAGGTGGGGTCGTTGGAGGAAGCCATGGATCCTCGGGGATCACTGACCGAGCTTGCGGGGGCCTATGGCCGACAGGTGAGGGTGCGCGTTACCCCCAGACACGGGATCATTCCTAAGACACGACACTCTCTGCCTCTCTCTTCTGTCTGTCTGTCTGTCTCTCATTCTGTCTGTCTGTCTGTCTGTCGGTCTGTCTCTCTGTCTGTTCGGTTGTCTCTCCTCCCTCTTGCCTCTCTTGCTATCTAATCCCATTGTTGCAGCAATGATTTCCAGCTATAGTAGATCGTCTCACCGTCTTTCCTTTCTCGACCGAAGAGCAGCTCAAGCTCCGACGCCTTTATTATTTTTCTTGAAGAAGGTTGAGCAGCAGCAGCAGCAGCAGCATCAGCATGTGCCTTGTTTCGTTGGTCGCTCTTTGTCGCGAGTGAGACCATCACGGGGCATGCCACCGTAACCGCGGCCTGTGTTTCATGTTTCCAAGCGCTTTGTGTCTGAGGGGCAAGGTTTTCTTACTAGTACTGAGCGGAACGTGGTTTGAGGCCCCTGTAGGAGTTCTTTCCCACGCCGCCCTTCTCTTAGTTGATGCTGAGAACCTCCCCGTACCAAGATGTGGTGCTTGTAACGCGACTTATTTAGGCACTACTCTAGGAACTCGTGATCTCGCTGGGTGAACTGGAATACTGTCGGATGTTTCGTAAGCCACCATTGGCAAGGATTTTGCTCAGCGAATCGATCTGCGAGATGGTTTTCTGCTGTTCTGTTCGGGAGGAGCACGTTGTACAAGTCGACCCCAATAAATCGCGCTTGATGCGTGGTATGTACGCCGACGTGATGATGACGTCATCTCTTGCAGGTGTACGAGTCCCTGGGGTCAATGCTTGGTCAGGCTCGAGCGGCGACGTCCGAAGTGGCGGAGAGGGTGCAGGTGGGGGAATGTTGTTGTTGTTGTTGTTGTTTTGTTGTTGTTGGTGTTGTTGGTGTTGTTGTTGTTGTTGTTGTTGGTGTTGGTGTTGTTGTTGGTGTTGTTGTTGTTGTTGTTGTTGTTGTTGTTGTTGTTGTTGTTGTTGTTGTTGTTGTTGTTGTTGTTGTTGTTGTTGTTGTTGTTGTTGTTGTTGTTGTTGTTGTTGTTGTTGTTGTTGTTGTTGTTGTTGTTGTTGTTGTTGTTGTTATTGTTGTTGTTGTTTTGTTGTTGTTGTTGTGGTTGCTGTTTTCGTTGATGCTTTGTTGTGGCATTGGTATTATAATTGTTGTGATTGCTGTTTTCGTTTTGTGTGCTTGGTGTTGTTGACGCTGTTGGTGTGGGTTTTTGTAATGGTCGTCGTCCACTTTTCTATCCCCTCTCTACTCTCGTATCTGGGGTCCATCTAACCCTCACGTCCATGGTCACACTCGTTGCAGTCGTCACACCGCACACATGTGTCAGAGAATCAGAAAAAGCCCGTCGTAGTTCGTCTAAGTCTGTGGAAAGAGGATCTCGGTGCATGTGTTATCCTACCTTCACATATGTGGCGGCTGTGTACCCATGTATCACTGCGACTTCCCGGAACCCCTTCTTAGTCTTCTTCGACTTCATGTATGTATCCGGTTTAACGTGGCCCATCTACCTCCTCTTCGACTTTTCATTGTATGGAGTATGTGCCACCCGTATTGGGGTATGTAGCTGGGGCGTGACCACAGAAGAGGTCCGCTTCAGCTGAACCACTGCGGATGTTTGGAAGGATTGTCTATACCTCGGCAGCCTCTCTCGTGTCTGCTGCCATGCTTCATTGAGCGGGATCCATCTGTTCGTCGCCGTTGCCGTTCCCAGACGCTCTCGGGACAGGAGGACGTCGAGGTGCCGCTTGAAGTTCGCCAGCGGAGCGACAATCTCCTGGAGAGGATTAAGAGGGCCTGGCTCGCGCACACGGCACGGTGCCCCCCGCAAGAACTGGGTGCGAGTTTCCCGTATTTCCTTTCTTTTGCGTATTTTGCTTGCACTTACTTCTACACCAATATCGGATGTATTCTCTGGATCTTGGAGCCCAGGATATATTTCGTAAATCGTTGGTAGTATTCCATGCCTCTCGACCTGTGCTCTTTTTTATTTTCCTGTTTTTGTGGTTAGAGTTTTTCGTTCTATTTTTCCATTGCTTTGTCGGCTTTCGCAAGGAGTTGGCGGGGTACAGCGATCTGGATCCAGCCTGGCGCGACCTGCTCCGTCCTGACATGTGTACACAACGTCCCCGCCGCGCACGCCCCCCCGAAAAAAAACAGAACGCCGGTTGTCTCGGGAACCTTCCTTCTCTGTCCCTCAACCCACTCCCTCTTCCGGGAGCGATCCTTCCAGCACCGCCGCCGTTGGCGCCGGCACCTCCCCGGCGGGCGTCCCCGCAGTGCCCACGCCATCTGCGTCGCCCCCGCCTGCTGGGTCCCCGGCCGGGCTGGGTCACACCCGCCGCCGGCAAGCCTCGGGGGGCTCCCAGGAGATGGTGGTCGGGGGCAGGCCCCTGACCCGGACTGTCACCCTGGAAGACGTCATCAACGAGGCCGACGAGCGGGAAGAGGTGCACCGGCGGCAGCAGCAGCAGCGAGACGCCGCCGAGAGCGGCGGCAGTCGTGGTTTCGGCGACGACGGGGATGATAGCGCGATGCCGGAAGCCCGTCCCGCGAATGACGAGCGGGGTACACGCGGGGTGGCGGACGGAGAAGGTGGGATGGACTTACGGTGTATTGCGGATGGCCTTTCGTTGACGGTAGGGTTGTCAACCACAGCAGGTTGTTAGTGGGTGGGTCCGGGGGATCACGAAGAGAGT